CCCCAAAACCCCAAAACCCCAAAACCCCAAAACCCCAAAACCCCAAAACCCCTTTTACTATAATTTTTATTGAACGAAAAAAGATGTTTTCAAACCCTGATGATTCAAAAGTCCCTTATGCAAAAACAGGGCCGAAACAGATAGGTCCTTCAACCTCCTTGAACAGATATTCTCTGTGAGGATATCCTTGAATCTATGCTAATTACACCCCGATGGTATCGCTGAGACAAACACAGGTAATATAGGGGATGAGAAGTCCGAATTTTGTCTGAAAGTTTTAGAGAGATAGGCCCCTATATAAGACTGAGAAGCCAAAATCTACCATTTATAATTTCAAGAAAATTTGCCCTAGAGGCGGGTATAACCAATTTTGTGTGGGTGCCAGTGTTGTTAAAGAAAGACCATAGATGGCTAACTTTGAATAGATGCAACTAAATGTGACTAATTTTGGGAAATGAGAGATGAGAAAAAGAAGTGAGGCCAGCTATATCAAAGTTACACCCTCTGAAAGACTCAAGGTATGGGTATTATTAACCTGTAGGAATCAAAGAAAAATTAAATCTGGATGTGGCCAGTATAGACAAAAGAGTCCTGCTTTTAGGTTAAAAGCATCTATTCGTAAAAATAATTCCTCGATTCCTCCTCTCCAAATTGGATCTATTGGGGAACCCGTTTTGAACAACAGATACTTCTCAAATTAACAAAGATCTTCGAATTATTAGGAATGTCCCTCAGGAAGAATTTACACGACAAAGGCTTCAGACATCATGCACAATCAAGAGACCTAAAATGTAACCAAAGAATTTGATCTGTAGAAATATCCAAGGCAAGAAGCCTCTTCTACCAAACCAGAGCTTGCTAGTAACTCCTAATGGCTAACTACAGACATCTCTATACCAGACTCCTAAATCTCAAAATAAGCTAATTAACAAGAGACGCAACATTCTCAATCTAAGTGATTCCGATTTTGACTACAACTCAAATAAAACTAATACTCAAAAAGTTGCCTTCATCAATAAGATTGGCAAGAAAAAGATTAATAACTCACTTTCTATTCCACTACAAAACAGCTTGCTTAAAAACACAAATGAGATTAACACTGTAGCCAAAAAGTAAGCTTATATAGCCTTAACAAATTCTAGAAACTCTCTTGTCACGAACCTATTTATCAAAGGACTCAAGTCAAAAGTTCTCAAAATTAAAAGACCAAGCACACAGGTCATGAAGAGACCTGAATGAACTCTAGAAACTCAAGATAAAGATACAGTGCAGATACCTAATAAGACTGTACCTTCTTCTCCCTGTAAAAAGTCTCTACAGAAGCCAAAGAAAAGTAACTTCAACCAGAACATTGACCTTTATGAATTATCAAACGATCAAATCTCAGACAAAGCTCTTGATGTATCAAACAATGAGGCTGATACTACCAAAACAATTGGAGTACAGATTAAAGTTCATAACAGAAAACAATATCTGAGTAAGTACAAAGGAAAGCTCACTAAAAGAAACTCCTCGGTTCTTGAGACAGAGCCAGAGGGATTCTCTGTAGCAAACTAGAACAGATTATCTTATCTTTTTATTTAAACTGAGAGGGGTTTTGGGGTTTTGGGGTTTTGGGG